ACCCAAAGACCTGGATGACCTCTGATTTCCTGCTTCTAAACTCAGATAAAGCTAAACTTAATGTACTCAGACCCCAAAACCTTAGAAATATGGCTGGACTACTGTAATTCATTAATATCAGTATGTCCTAAAACTCGCTAAAAAGCCTTCATTTGATCCAAATTGCTACAACAAGAGTGCTGACAGGAACTGAAAGAAAGAGCACATTTCACTCATACTTGCCTCTATTCATTGGCTCCCTGTCAAATCCAGAATCGAATTGAAAATCCTTCTCATCGCATACAAGGTGTTGAAGGTTCCATCTTAAATCCCTCATAGTACCATTTCATACTAGTCCTCTCTACTTCTACGACTCGGCTTAAAACTTTCCTTTTTGATAAGGTTGGGGCTGGATCAGGTGACCCTGAATCCTCTCTTAGTTACGCCGCAATAAGCCCAGGCTGCTGGGGTGTTTCTTCTTCACCCACTAAGTCTTCATACACACCCAATGTGTATTATTAATCTCTGACTCTCTTCCACAGTGTGTCTTCGTCCCGTCTTCCTCCCATCACTCCCAACCAGCCGCAGCAGATGGCCTCCCCTCCCTGATCACCCACTCCCGGACCACCTTGAATCACCCTGTATTTATGATAGCATAAATAAATGAGCTTTGATAAGTTATAAATCAGTTACTCTGTGGTCAACTCATTCAAATGTTATGCTGTTTTGCTTTGAATATTGTCATTTTATTCTTCTTTGTACTTTTACTCTACAGCAGTTTATTCATCTATCTTCCCTGTTAAGCATATGGTAATAATAATTAATGGTCTTATAAAAAAGAAATGCTTGATTTGACTTGACCCAACCCAAAGAAGCAAAAGGAAGGAAAAAAAGTTTTATTCATACTTTATTCTTCTCCCCACGAGATTTTTTTTTTGGCCTCAGCTATAAATGATTTAACTTTGATAATTACATTTAATTATAATATGTTAATGAGCTGCATTTAAAATTCATATATTATGTAAGAACTTATGAATTTCTGATTTCCTATTCATCATCGCCAAGTTCCTTTACTCACTTCCTCCCTCTGTTGGCCAGTCAGCAGCAGAGCTGGTACAGGTGACCTCTTGGAGAACGACCTAGATGTGGTTTGGTGGGTCACCCACACCATTTCCATTCTGCTGAAATGCATGCTGGAGCTTTCCCAACAGCAACTCTCACATTCACTCGCTCCTGAGGTTGATGCAGGTGCCATGTGTCTCAGTGAGAAGCAGTGGATGGTTGAGTGGGAAGACGAGGGTTTGGAAGGAACCATCAGGACCAAAATGTAGGTCATCAGGTTCCCACACCAGCCTTGCTCCACCGTCCAAAGCCTGAACTCTGTGGGTATTTTTTCTGAACAACCTTCAGACTCTGTGCTCACATGATGAGAGAACATCAGAGAACCTTGTCGGTGACTGTTTTCAGGGTTTAGTTGACGCTACATTTTGGTCTTGTGTTTAAGTCTTTTGCACAGTTGAATTCATTCAGCTTGGCTGCTGGCGCAAAATCTCGATACACACTTATCTTATCTATAAGTATCAAAATCAGCCAGATGACCTGTCTCGATCAGCGCTACAGTATGCGTGTATAATTAAGTGTGTGCGTATGTGGCAACCAGCAACCACACCGCACACAGCTGGTGGCCCAGCTGCAGCGTCTTGTCCCAGCAGGGTGTATTCTTAGCTCCTTAAAACCCAGTAAGTGAAATGAGATGAGACAAAACACACATAACCCAAACCTCAACCCCCCCCACACACACACACACACACACACACACAAGCGGTGAGGCGAGAGGCTACTGCTGAAGTTTGCTGTCTTTTTTTTTTCTCCGAGTGTGTCCACATCTGTGTGTGACTGAGACCGGCTCTGATGTCATATGTTCACGTACATCCGCATTACCCTAATTACATACACAGTTCCTGTCTTTTTATATATGTACCTTAGGCCTAGAAAATGCTGTTTCATTATTTAACATGATGAATATTCAAACCCATTTTAATAGATGTAGAAAGTCACTTTGTAACATTTAATGTTTCTGTACTTTTGTTGTTGTTTGTCACAAAGAGTTATATTGTACTGTTATTTGAATAAATTTGTAATTTTGTTGACAGTGATAATTTAAGTTTTTGTGTAAGTATATATGGATAGGCTTTATTATGTTGTTGTCCAGAAGGTTACCACCTTAATCTGCAGCCATCTGAACAGCGCGCTGCTTTAACTTAGTCACTGGTTTTGTTATTACAAAAGCCTTTTTATTCATGTGTCATTTCACACCTTGGGTGGGAGTAATGAAAAAAGCAAACCAACCGCCTGTCTATCCACCAACGAGGTCTAGGAAAGGTAATGAAAACTAAGGCTAGGTCTTTATCAGGAATGCTGTGGTAGTCTATATTTGACCCAAATTGTTTGGCTGAGTATTAAATTTCATTTACTGTTAAAGCGACTTACTCATGTTTGTACACCGACAGTGTCCTTTCAATATGTTGGACGTTGAGGGTCAACCTTGAAACCTGGGCACAAGCCTAAATACTTGTTTAGTAAAATCAGGTGCAATGTGTTAGCTCACACTAAACACAGAGTCACACACAGAATCAGCCTTTCTTTGCAGCCACCCTCTGCAGCGTGTCTGCTCGCGAGTACAGTTTCATCCAAGGTGGCCATTTCCTCAGTGATGACAAAAAGAAAGAAACGCAGAGTTAGTTTGTGTTTTTACAGCTAAAATGGAACTGCTGGCTTTAATGGTATATTTAAGTTCATTATAAATTTATTGCACTTGTCTCAATGTCTGTAATTTATTCTGCTCATTTTATACTTGAGAGTAAAAGGCTTAGAGTAGATACTCGTTTTGGCAGCATGCAGCATTTGAGTGCCTGAACTGTTGCATTAAGAAATATGACTGAAACTGAACATAATTATTTCAAACCAAACCACAAATTCTGTGTACATTACATCCCTGGTCATTTTTCCTGACACTGATAAACAGAAAGACCCAAAGCCTATAAAACTGGGTAATTCATGTGACCATATTAAATGATTTTTTTAGGTTGCACAACTTTCCTTTTATCATTTGTATTGCATTACTCTCACACATCAGATTAGCCTGTATATACCATAACTTAGTAATGGTAATAATGTATCTAATATCTTCTCATACCACACTACATGGCACTGTATTTATGTCCAGTAATATTTTACTTTCAAATCCTCAATCTGCTTTACTCAGCTGTATATGAACATAGAATAAATGCACATAAAAATACTGACATTTGTAATTTTTCACAATGTTGTCTTTTATCATTTATGTAATGGGTGTCCACAGAATGAAGAGCTACTCCTGAGGACGATATCATTATTAAACACTTAAATATGCTTATTATTGAATTATATATAAACAAACATATATAAGGCAAAGTTATCTATATTGTTATTTTGTTTCTTATGTTCCAAATATATTTGTTATATGTAAAAGTTTTCATTACATACATTATATGTAAAGACATCCTTATTATATGTACAGTAAAATTATTCATTGTTCTTTCACCTAGCGCATACTTTTTTATCTTTACTTTTATGTCCTTATATTTTTATATGTTAATAAATATGTAAGGTTTTCTTCTTTGTATTACATATGAGTTATAGCCCTATTACAGTCAAATTAAAGTGATGTATTGTGCTTTCTCTTAATTCTTACTTTTTTTCTACGTCCAATATTTTTTATACCTCTATCATATTACCTGCATCTTATATAATATATGTAAAGGAGTTTACCGTATTATATGTATGCATCGTTCCTTTACCGAGCCCTTACTTTCTCTGCATATCCCTTTTACTGTCTGGATTTCCTCCCATGAGGCTGTCAATCAAGACATATCATTTATGATGTGTTTTATGCAGCACATTTACTGGATACATACTAACGCATACATATAAATGAAATAAATTTAAATATAGTATATTTTCCAGGTGTAATTATACATATATTTATTCTCTTTATTTAAGCAGTTATTTAAAAAGAAACAAACTTCTTGATGTTTTTGTTTACAGTATTTATTAATATGGGCTATCCTGGTAACTGCATTTGCTTATCCCCTCAGAGTTCCCCTCAATATCATAACAAACTCTGTTTTATCACTTCATCCATATGAATAAATGTTCCGAACTAACCCACTGCCATGTTTCTTATGGCTGCAGCGTCTTAACCAGAAATATTCTACATGTTTGTGTATCTTTTTATGCACATTTCCGCCATAACTCACTCAGACGTGTTTGGCATATATGGAGTTTTGGGGATTTTCACCGCATTTAAAAATCAAGCTCAGCGGTCAATTGAAGTGATGGTTCTGAATCGTGCACAATAAATAAGGCCGATTTGTTTGTAAGGTGATATTTTAATATTATTTACATAACAAAAAGTCTTCCACTTCCTCTTCTTCTGCGCCAGGATCAGGTGAGTCATGTGGAGTCCTCAATAGTCCTGCGCGAGCCCAGAATGGCTGCCTCACCTTATTATCCTCCTACAACTTTTTCATCAATCAGTAGCGTGGAGCTGACATTTGTCATATTATTGGGATTTTCTGGTTTCAAATGCAGACATTTTGCAGCCAAGCTTTAAATAGACTGTTGACCGCAGAATATTTGGTTGAGTGTGTGACAGGGAGAGCGGGGCGCTGCCAAGAAGTGCGTGCGGTTTGAGGTGTGTGTGTGTGTGTGTGTGTGTGTGTGTGTGTGTGTGTGTGTGTGTGTGTGTGTGTGTGTGTGTTGGACAGGAGTGGAGGGTGGCTGGGGAGGGCATTAGTGAATGGCTGTGCTATTGCATCCTCCCAGGAGACCTCTAAAACACACACACACCATAGTACCTTAGCAGCGCATTAAACCCGCCTCCTTCATCCGCAAAAAAACTCCCATCTCTCTGCCGTACCTCTATAACCTCGCGCCGCCCCTCAGCTAAAGTCAGTGCACACGCTCTCTCTTCTGCCAGACGCTCAAGGAGACGGCAGTGTGTGAGGAGGACCCGCGTGTATGCGCGCGCGCGTGTGTGTGTACGTGTGTGTGCGCGCATGTCTCGGGCTAAGGTCGGAGATTCCCCAGCACGCTGACAGGAGAGCCCCGCTTGTCTGAGAGCGGCAGCCGGCAGCGGGTGATAAAGCTTCAAGTGAAGAAGAGCAGCGGGAGGAAGAAGAACCGGCGGAGAGCTGCTTCATCTTGGCTTTTAAACTTGACTGCTCCTCCACGCGCTCTCCCGGCGCAGAGAAGGAAAGCAAACAAGTTGATTCCGAAGAAGGGTCGATTCAGCCAAAGCTGCACTAGATCTTTTTTTTTAAGCATCCCTTTGGAGCCCCTCTCCCCGTCCCTTCTGAGCGCGCAGTGACAGAAGGAGGGACGGGAGAACCGGGCAGACGGACCGTGAAGCTGCGCGTCTTCCCCGGTGCAGGACCCATTGGATGCGGGATGATGGATTAACAGCCTAGGCTGTGCACGACCCCCTTGTCCACCTCGGGATTATTTCGGCTCTCACTGACCCCCCTCCTTCCCTCTCGAGATGACCGAGGAATATGTTTTTCGGTGCGTCCTGATGCTCTGCTGCGCGCTTCTCTCGGCCAACGCGAGTAACTGGCTGTAAGTTGGACGTTCACATTTCTAAACCAGAATCCACAAATTTCCGCTCTTGTACTTCACCTGTGCTCCTGTTTTCCTCCTCATCTACACATCATCTTCGTCTAACCCCCCACCCCGGCTCAGTGGGCGCACAGGTTAATGGTTAACCATCAGGCACACACTGTCTCTCTCTCACTTTCTCTCTTTCAGACTTAATAACTTACTAATATGGCTACCCCCCCCCCCCCCCCAAAAAAGCCAAAGTTTGGTCAGCTGTTTGTTTTGGAGTGATTGGACGATAAATTGCATTTTGTGCAAAAAAGTTAAAGATTTTTGTCTACATAACGTAATTAACTGACTGGTTTAAAAAAAGTTAACATAAAGCCCAAGAGAAAAGTGGGCAAACTCAATGTGAGGCTCCTGTGTGCTGCTCTTATCAGCAGCAAAAAGTCAAATTAGGAGGGAGTTTCTGAATTATGGTTTTTCTCTTTTGCAAAACTGAACAATTCCTCCTACTCTGAGAAACCAGACCAGGCATGAAGTAGATAAATAAATGCATATATAGATACAAATAAAAGTCCCCTTTCTTTAACTTGTAGAGAAACAGCAGGTTTTTATTTGAACTAAAGTACTCCCTTTTAAACCTTTTTAAATGAGTGAAATAAAATAGCAACTTCAATTTTGCAAACAAACACTAATGGTATGGGTGCGTGACTAAAGATAAGAAGTTCAGTGAGGTCACTAAAAGCAAAACATCAGTATCATGCATTTGTTTTCAAAAGGTGTAACACACAGCCCGACGCTGTAGCCGAAGCGCACCGTGCCACCTCTTCTTCTGGGGGCCGGTCGGTTGGGTCGCGTGTGTGTGCCTGCTCTGAAGGCAGCCTGTGGGAGGTGGATAGGTGGGTTTCTGCATTCCTCTGCAGGCTCCGCTCCATTTTCTACTGCCATTCATTCCACTCACCTTTAGCAAATTTACAAGCAGTGCTCATCATTCAGGGGCACTGTTTCATTTCCCCCCCTCTTCCATAGAATCGAGGCTCTGTTGATATGAAGTCGAGCTGACAGAGAGCTATGTAGTAACTAATAACTACAGTATTCTCAAACTGTGGTTACTCACTTGACGATTTGTATTTTTATTTCCTCATAGTAGGGAGAGTTATAGTAGCCTTCTGTGTTTACGTCAGGCTGGTGCTGCAGACGGCCTGACTGATATTGCTGACAGATTCATCAGAGTAAGTTAAATTAAAGCCCTGCCAAACAGCACTGCCTACCTTGAACTCTGTCACTGAGTACAGGGTAATTGTGCTGTTTGGGGCTGAAGGCGTGGTGACAGCAGCACACAGCAGGCATGTACAGGCAGGCTGCCGAGCTGCCAGTCTGCTCTGCAGGATTAAACTGTTGAGGAAAATCTGTGTGTGAGTCCTCCACGCTTCAGCAAGGGTCAGAGGATGAGAAGCAGTTTCAGCATTGCTGTTAGTACAGTGGCTCTGAAACATGCAATAACTACACCTGTTGTGTAACAGAGCAGGTTACCACTGTACCTGATTGGACAGAAGACGGGAGTTGCATGCAATGCTATTTACTTATACTAGGATTTTGACATACAGTAGTCTTGATGTAGTCAGTTGACTTGTGTGGAACCATAAATTGTATACAGAAGATGGACATGGCATGAGTTTTGAACACGTATTGTGTGTGAAACCAGCAGGGGGCGACTTCTGTAGTTGCAAAAAGCTGTCCTGTTGTATAGAACTCTGTGGTAAAACTATCTTCAGGTGTCTTGATCTGTGACCTCGTTAAACACTCTCCTGATGAGTTCATGATGTCAGCTGCACATTTCAAGACCAAATATCACACATTGTTCATGTTGTAAATTACAAGCAAAGTCAAAATAGGAGAATAAAACAGCATGGTCACTGGCTAATGATTCATCAATCAGATGTGGTTGTTTAACGCTGTAATGTGTTTGGTTTTGCAAAGCTGAGGGAAGAAGAGTCTGACTGATGCCCACTAGTGTTGTTCAATAATGGCAAAAAGTAATTACCATTATTTTGCCCAATATTGTGTTTACTGGTTTTTGTTCTGTTTGTTTTGGCCAAATCAGTGGATTTCTTCACATTTGTTAAAAAAGGGGGGATTTAAATGAGCTTCAGTTATTAGTTAATAATTTAACTGAATGAATTAAATAAGTGTGAACTCAAGCAAACATTCCACAGCCTGGAGGGAAGTGTTTGGGCTTTAAAGGAGGGAGGAAAGGAAAGGGACATGCTGATAGAGTTATATTAGCAGCTCATGATTATTCCTTTGACCAAATCTAAATCCAGTCACTACTTTTAGTTTTTGTTTTTATTTAAACTTAATGCCCAAAGCAGTAGAGAAGCTTCAGATATCGAGATATATAGAAGTATGCTTCAAAAGCAGACAAACCATAACAGAAGTTGGATGAGCATATTTGACCTTTAGTTTCAAATTATATATATATTTCAATATAATCAACACGTATCATGCAATAATTCAAAAGTCTTAGTCTTAATAGATACTAGAAGGGATGCAGACTAAATCCAAGGATATGCGTCTACCGTTTTAATGTGTCTTATAACTCGACGTACTGCACCGGGCAATAGAAATCTGGAAATAGAAACACTGAAAATCAGGGGTTTAAAGGGACATTACAAGGATTTAGTGATACACTTCCAAACAGTTCCAAACTCTTAGAAAAATTGAATTGGCAAAATCTAGAATACCCCGAAATTAACTCTGTCCTGAGAATTAAGCTCTTCATGAGCTTGATCCTACGTTGCCCATAATGCAACTTGATAGTGTTGTTATCAGACCAGTCGACCCTTCCGGCCCAGTAAATACCCACACCTTTAAAACTACTTGGCCCCTGTTTGTAACAAAGGCACTTCAGTATAATGTATAATAATAATAACATAACAATGCTTTGTCTCCAAGCCAAAATAACCCTGATGTTATCACTATGACATAATTAGGATCGGGAATATGCTGAGTCATACTCCTAAACTGAAATCCTGGAACACACACACACACACACACACACACACACACACACACACACACACAC